AATTACCGCAATCACAATAAGTATAACTGCCATTGAATAAACAATCATTAAAATTATGTATGCATCAAAATAATCGCTTTCAAGAATGAAATGTTCTTCATCTGCAAATATGTATATAAAACATTTTGAATCGTTAAGATATTACAAGACAATTCTATAGTCTTTCTTTATCTGATTCAAGAGGCGAAAACTATGGCTGAAAATGAATAACATTAAACATGGCCTGTCAACCGGCATTTATTTTATTTATTTAAAGCTGCTTGCACGTCCATTCAGCAATGGTGAAAATTTAAGTTTGTGTGTTTTCGAAGAAAACTTTTATTAGCGTGTACCGGCGGCTAATAGATATGCATTCGTCCATTCAGCAATGTGGAAAATTTTAGTCTTGTTTTTTTTTGTTTTAACAAAATAAAACTGTAATGAAAATAGCTTTTCTGATGTACAACATGTCACCGAGCTTTAACAAATTAATATAAACGTTCAACAAAAGTGAAAGTGCCATGTTTGAATATCATATTCTTTTTTTTTTATCTTTTTATAGCAAGTCTATATTTTAATTTCTAATGACGGGAACCAAATTTGGACAGAGGACCAGGGGTATGACCAAAATGACTAAAATACGCAACAGAGATTTATTTGGCGTAACGAGCGCAACGGAATACTTTCTTTTGAAAATAATTAACAGTTAAGTAATAAAACAGATTAACTGAGTGAAAAATTGTTATAAAATGTATCACAATCATGTGAAATAATGACTGTGAAATGAAATATTCTTGGCGCAACGGAGATAATCTTCTATAATGGGAACTGGAAAAGGGAAATGTATGGTTATAAATAATAATTATCAAAGTAAAATAAATTATATAATTATAATCAATGTAAAGTATCAACATAAAAGTTTGCTGTAAATTTCATTAGGAACATTTTACTTTAGTGTATTCGAAGGTTAATACATGCTTGCGATTTGGACTTATTCGGGATCTCAGCGCAACGGAGATAATTTTGTATAAAGACCAGACATAAATTACAATTATTTTATAATTTGAATATAATATCATAATGAAAGTATTATATTTGCCGGAAAAAATGGACATATTCTCGACGCAAAGGAGATATATTTCTTTACTTTTTTCCTTTTCTTTGTCTTTTTCTTGAATTTATTTTAAGTATACCAATTATTTCAATTTTCTTTTTCTTTGACTACACCTTTCAATCTTTGTTTCAACAGACTCACATTTCAGAATTCAAGACATGCAATTTCTTTGTGAATTTATGCATTATGTTCTATTTTTTCGCAAATTATGCAACGAGCACATACCAAGAAAAACTGATGCTTTGTATATTCAATTGTAATAGAGAACAATTCTCAAGGCTGATTTTGTACTGTTCACATCTTTTTGCCGCGTCTTTGATGCACAGCATCAACATTTAACTTGTTTAGATACTAACAGGCGTTCGCATTAAAGAGTAATTATATAACAAAAAACGTTTTGCCGTTGAATTTTTTCTCATAAAGGTTTTAATCGACTACAATATGTGGTTTCCTCAATATCGAAAGTTTTGTGGAAAGAATGTCTCTATTAAACATTGCACGTATACAGAATGAAAAGTAAACAAAAGACTACAGTGTACTAGACTAAACGCTTCTTATACTCGAGTAGATCTTGATCTTGATCATTTATAATGTATCTACTGAAGCCAATAGGTGCTACAATTGTAATTACGTTTATGAACGTTGATTTGATTCTTTAACTTTTGTATGTTTTCTCCAGCTGAGCGCGCATGATGAATGTTAATCTGGACCTTTTCTTTCTTCATTATTTGAGTTAATATTGAGTTTTATCATTTTAATCATGGGGAACAACTTCATATGACTAACCAAAATGTGTATCGGTTACAAAGATATGTTGGATTCCGGTAAAAACGTACGTTGGCTAAAACTGATTTCAAGAAATTAAACGGTAAGTTTTACAGTTTTGAAGTTTTTGTGAATATGAGCTAAAATTTAAAAAAAAACCAACAACAACAAACAACAACAAACAAACAAAAAACACGAATTACTTTTCATCACTTATGTAATGTTCTTCAATAGCTAGCAATCAATGTAATGTCATTTTATGCAGTTGTTATCAGAATTGTTTGTGTCGTTGGTTCAGATCCGTCAAACATCCAACAGATCGACACACACAAACACACGCGCACACGCACGCGCACGCACACGCACGCACAAACCTTTGTTGGGTCAATTCTTTGGAAATCGGCAACAAATTAAAATAGTTACGCCCAAAGTTCACATTGTGATCCATATATGGATACTTATTCAATATCGAAATATAAAATACGATCTGTTCTCGTAAAATACGAAATGCATTGGTAGCTGACAAGCACTGTTTTGAAAATATGTTTTTAATACAATCAGGGTTTATATTACTTTTGCTTTGGTTTATTTTTTTATTGTTGACTTTGAATGAAAGTGACCAACGCTTTCTTTTACTTGCGGACCATACGCCGCTTTTCATAGAATGGCACGAAATTGTCACATTGATGGTTCCATGATTACCACAGAATGAACATATCTGCGGATGTTTCTAAATTCAAAATTTTACCATTACATGTTTACATATTGAACACTGCTTAAGCTGGTGCTATAAGGGGCTTGGACAGCAGTTTGCATTTATAGTACCGTCCATGAGAAGGCTCAATGAAACAGAATCTGAAACATTTCAAATATTGCCGTTTTGGACTTTCTTTAGGGATTCTATTTTCTCAATTGTGTTAACTTACACATTTGACATAATAAAATTACTTATTAAGTTTTTAATTGAAATATATTTTAAGTCCCCTGTACATTCTTTCTTAACAAATATATATCATTTTATATTTGTAAAGTCATTTTGTGTACTTAAATGTTCCAAGAGAAGAGAACAGACGGAATACGCTTAGAATGTATGAAACGACATTTTTTGTGTTAAAATTAATTTGTCAAATATGCTTTCCTCCTCTTTTATCTTGGTTTTAGTCACATAGTGTAAAAAGATTCAGGATTTCTACCACGCAAAATAAATAGACTTCATTCATGTGTGACGCTTGGTTATGTCAGAAACATTTGGTATAAACCTGATAAGATCTGATATAGCATGCTACGATGGTCACATTCAATAAATTATGATATGTGTAATTTCATTGTTTTGTCTCGTCTTTCTATAGAAAGAAACTCGCATATACCATGAACGAACTTTAAATACTCGACATGACGCATTTTCTTTCCTTGCCGTGCTGGATCTGTTTCTTCGGAGCAATTAAATATTGATGAAATAGGAGAAAAGTTCGGGGATGCAAGGGCATAACTAAATTCTAACGTTCAATGGCAAATAGATTCAGTTTATTATAAAAAATATTTGAGTAACTGAAGACAAGATGTCCCAAAAATCCATCATTTTGCACCATCATTTTCAGTTTTTAAGGGGAATGTTATCTCCCACACTTTTCCACAATCATGTTCATGATTTAACGGGGAGGCGCCCGTAATCTCCCCCTTTCTTTCCGGATGGGAAACACTGCCTTGCCTATCTCGCGTGCATCGTCAACCATAACTGGCTTCTCTATCTGTGTACTCATCCCATTATAGTCCCGTGTAATGTGGATCTATATCATATACATATGATGGTATCATATGGCATGTTGAACGTTGCAAAATTCATAAATCTATTTTTTGGTCTATATCCAATATTAATATTGTATCACTCTAATTTTATATTCTATACCATAATATTTATTCAATCCTGCTGAATATTTGTTCATCATTAAAAATATTTGTGTGCGATAATTTTCTATATATATATAGTTTTTGATGAGTAGTCTAGACGAACACATTTTGTGGCAGGCGGACGGATAGACAGACAGACGGACGGAGAAGTGAAACCTGTATGTCGCTGCTTCTTTGTAGCAGCAGACACAAAAATGAGGCATTTTGTGTGCTAAAGAAAACATAATCAACCTACATCGCCTTTTTTATATTCTAGCATTAAAAGCGGCTGTAATTAAAAGTTGACTATTTTCCTCGTACATTGTTTCAAATTCTAACATGTCATTAATATGTATATCAAAAAATACTTATTATCAAGACATTCTCTATTACTACCTTGTGATTAATTGTATGCTTATCATAGAAACAAACTATATTCTGTATTGCATTAGCTTTTATCAATTTTGCCAAATGTTATATTCTTCTGTTTTCTTGAAATGTAACATAATTGTAAAATATCCAATTTTTAGAAGGGAGGCAATTTTTCGAACTCATCTTCGATTTTATTGTTCAGCTAACTCGTTACCATGACCTTCCTCTAATAGGCCGGATAACTCGTGGTCACGAGAAAGCATTTTTTTGTGTTAACTGCAAGTTTTTTCTAGGTAATATCTCGTGGCTACTGGATAGGAAAAGAAAAAAATATCAGAAGTCTGTTCTGTGCTTCCTTAGTTTGTTGTTTATGAAGTGATTTCTGACGCAACACCGGACATATACACAAGTTGATAAGTAACCAATAAATAAAATTTCAAATTTCAAATAAGGTTGATTTCGACACACTTGACCATCCAATTACAGTTATTTTTAAATCATTAAACCTTAAAATTGAAGAGAAATATTTTGATTGCATAGAAATACTTTGAAAATTGATTATGTTTACGTAGTACATGTATTCTGTTTTACTAAACATATTCGTAAGCAGTACAGAACAGCAATAAGTACACATTGTTTCAGCATATGCATTGTACGATATATATACTTCATGCTTCTATAAATCGTCTCGACTGATTATGCTTTCACCCTTGCTTATACCTGATATAAACTGAAATCGAAATGTTGTTTTCAAATCAGTGATGATGTAACTTTAAATTATTTACACCAAATGAAATCAAAAGGTGAAACTGGTATAATAAGAAAATGACTTCACAGTTTAAACCCGAGTAAAATAAAGCACTTGTAAAACCACCTGTGGTGAATCATCGAGTCGTCGAATGTTTAAGTGGCGAATCGTTTGAAAAATATCTAGTTCTCTTCATTTTCTTCCTTTTTTCTGTTCCAACTATAAAAGTTTAAGATAAATAATGACATGTAGAAGTAAATACTGAATGAGATGTTGTGAACACATCAAATATCTTTTATTGTGCAATACACAGCAAATCATAATAGTAATAAAAGCAATATTATAATGTAACTTATTAAAGTTGTTTTTCTTTTCTACAAATTATACTAATTACACTGTATACTAAAACAGTGAAAACAATGATTTTCATCTTAAGGTTAAATTATTTACATCAAATGAAATCAAAAGGTGAAAATGGTATGATAAGAAAATGACTCGCGTTTTTTCTCTTTATGTATCAAATGAGGAAGCTGAATAAAGCGAAACATGTTTTGATATTTAAATTTGTGTTAGTTTTTGATCCAATTGTCCTAAGAAAATGACTCCACAGATTAAACCCGAGTGAAATAAAGCACTTGTAAAACCACATGTGGTGAATCATCGAGTCGTCGAATGCTTAAGTGGCGAATCGTTTGAAAAATATCTAGTTCTCTTCATTTTCTTCCTTTTTTCTGTTCCAACTATAATAGTTTAAGAAAAATAAGGACATTTAGAGGTTAATACTTAATGAGATCTTGTAAACACATCAAATATCTTTTATTGTGCAATACACAGCAAAGCATGATAGATATAAAAACAATATTATGATGTAACTCTTTATAGTTGCTTTTTTCTACAAATTATACTAAATACACTGTATACTAAAGCAGTGAAAACTTAAGGTTAATTTATATAAAGATCACGAATAACCTTCAGTTTAATTATACATTGTATATTAATAGTAGACAGGTACCGAACAACCTTCAGTTTAATTATACATTGTATATTAATAGTAGACAGGTACCGAACAACTTTCAGTTTAATAATACTTGTATATTAATAGTAGGCAACATTAAACTGACCAAAAGTGTCTGTCAAAATTCGATGTAAGTTATTGCTTTAAAACTTTAAAAGCATACACAGATTTTTAATGTTAAAATAAACAAAATTTAAAGATTGTCAGTTTGTAAGGACGTTAACTGCTAAAGTATTATTGATAAAATTGGATTTATCTTTTTTTTAATGTTTTGAGCATTAATAAAACACGATGCATGTCATAAACTTCAAACTTAATATAGGTGTGTAAAGAGTTTAATCCAAAAATGTATATGGGCTGAATGCCAAAGCATATAACATATAAACACATCTTGAGATATAATATTTCCAGTAATTTTATACATATCACAGTTGCAATAACGTCGATAAGGGTATACAAAAAAACAACAAAAAAAAAAACACACGCACAAAAGATACAAAGAATAATATACATTTCTAAAATATAGTTTTACAATTTACCAACAACAAGCTTCTGATCGTTCCTGTAAAGTTTTGATGAAATTGCACCAGTAGTTTCTTAGGACAAATTTTGTAACAGACGAACGGACGGACAGACAGACTACCAAAATGAGATCTCTAATAGTTGTGGCTATTTTGTTGATATGTCATCATCTGTTCAACTGGCAACACAAAAATCATTAATAGTAAGAAAAAACTGTTTTTACTTAAGAGCCATAACTAAGACAAATATGTGTTCAAGCACATGAGCTATCGATCAATCCTGTCAAGATTCACTGAAATTACATTAATGATATAAGAGGAACAGTCGGGTCAAGCTTTAAAATAAAAAACCATAAAAGGCCGTAACTCTGACAAAAAAAAATTGAACCGAAAAATGCTGACGATATGAAAACTAGACATCAACTGGTCATCCTTTCTTGGATGAAATTGCACTAGTTTTTGTTCAGTAGTCCAAACAAGTTTCTGTGTATTTGGCAACACAATAATCATTACCAGACCAAAACACCTTTTTAATTCAAGACTTGTTACTGATAATGCCTGTTAAGTTAAAATGAAATTGTAACAGTAGTTTTTGATGAGTAGTCTAGACGAACAAATTTTGTGGCAGGCGGACGGATAGACAGACAGACGGAAAATGAAACCTGTATGTCGCCTTTCTTTGTAGCAGCAGACACAAAAATGAGGCATTTTGTCTGCTAAAGAAAACATAATCAACCTACATCGCCTTTTTCATATTTTAGCAATAAAAGCGGCTGTTATTAAAAATTGACTATTTTCCTCGTACGTTGTTTCAAATTCTAACATGTCATTTATTTGTATATCAAAAAATACTTACTTATTATCAAGACATTCTCTATTACTACCTTGTGATTAATTGTATGCTTTACATAGAAACAAACCATATTCTGTATTGCATTAGCTTTTTTATATTTTGCCAAATGTTATATAGTTCTGTTTTCTTTAAATGTAACATAATTGTAAATATCCCACTTTAAGAAGGGAGGCAACTTTTTCGAACTCATCTTCGATTTTATTGTTCAGCTAACTCGTTACCATGACGTTCCTCTTATAGGTCGGATAACTCGTTGTCACGAGATAGCAGTTTTTTTTTTGTGTTAACTGCACGTTTTTTCTAGGTTATATCTCGTGGCTACAAGATAGGAAAAGAAAAAATATCAGAAGTTTGCTCTGTGCTTCCTTAGTTTGTTGTTTATGAAGTGATTTCTGACGCAACTCTAAATTATTATACCGGACATATACACAAGTTGATAAGTAACCAATACATAAAATTTCAAATAAGGTTGATTTCGTCACACTTGACCATCCAATTAAAGTTGTTTTTTTTAAATCATTAAACCTTAAAATTGAAGAGAAATATTTTGATTGCATAGAAATACTTTGAAAATAAATTGATTATGTTTACTAAGTACATATATTCTGTTTTACTTAAAATATTCGTAAGCAGTACAGAACAGCAGAAAGTACACATTGTTTCAGCATATGCAATTGTACGATATATATACTTCATGCTTCTATAAATCGTCTCGACTGATTATGCTTTCACCCTTGCTTATACCTGATATTAATCGCCATGTTGCTTTCAAATCAGTGATGATCCAACTTTAAATTATTTACATCAAATGAAATCAAAAGGTGAAAATGGTATGATAAGAAAATGACTCGCGTTTTTTCTCTTTATGTATCAAATGAGGAAGCTGAATAAAGCGAAACATGTTTTGATATTTAAATTTGTGTTAGTTTTTGATCCAATTGTCCTAAGAAAATGACTCCACAGATTAAACCCGAGTGAAATAAAGCACTTGTAAAACCACATGTGGTGAATCATCGAGTCGTCGAATGTTTAAGTGGCGAATCGTTTGAAAAATATCTAGTTCTCTTCATTTTCTTCCTTTTTTCTGTTCCAACTATAATAGTTTAAGAAAAATAAGGACATTTAGAGGTTAATACTTAATGAGATCTTGTAAACACATCAAATATCTTTTATTGTGCAATACACAGCAAAGCATAATAGATATAAAAACAATATTATGATGTTACTCTTTATAGTTGCTTTTTTTCTACAAATTATACTCATTACACTGTATACTAAAGCAGTGAAAACTTTAGGTTAATTTATATAAAGATCACGAACAACCTTCAGTTTAATTATACATTGTATATTAATAGTAGACAGGTACCGAACAACCTTCAGTTTAATTATAAATTGTATATTAATAGTAGGCAACCCTAAACTGACCAAATGTGTCTGTCAAAATTCGATGTAAGTTATTGCTTTAAAACTTTAAAAGCATAAACAGATTTTTAATGGTGAAAATATCAAAATTTAATTTAAAATTATATTGTCAGTTTGAAAGGACATTATCTGCTCAAGAATTATTTATAGAAGTGGATTTATCTTTTTTAATTGTGTTTCATTTCGTAATTACAGTGTCACGTTGGGAAATCTTCATTTCATTTTTTTATTTCGCCCATGCCCACGATGCACGATGGTACGATGGTGAAAACGCGATTGTACGATGATGACGCGATGTTAAATCGCGTTTTCAGCATCGTACCATCGCGTTTTCACCATTGTGCCATCGCGCTTTCACTATCATACCATCGTGTTTTTGCCATCGTACGAACGCGCTTTAACCATCGTACCATCGCGCTTTCACCATCGTGCCATTGCGATTTCACCATCGTGCCATCGTGTTTTCACCATCGTGTCATCGCGTTTTTACCATCGTACCATCACGTTTTCAACATTGTGCCATCGCGTTTTCACCATCGTACCATCGCGTTTCCACCATCGTACCATCGCGTTTTCACCATCGTGCCATAGCGCCATCGTATCATTGCCTTTCGGTCAGTACAAGCAGTAAACTTACAGAAAGATGCCAGATTCTGATACGGCAGATAGTAAAAACAAGTTAAGAATATTTAATGATTAATTTAAGTTTTATATAAATAAACCTGTTATCTTCACATTAAAGTTTTCCATTTATGTCGTTATACTGTATATAGATCACAGATTATTTCATATATGCTTATATATGCTTCATATATGTTTGTATTTTTTCTTTCGCTGTATGTAAGATATCAACTTGAATCTTCATGTCTACAGTGCACAAGGATGACAAATTTAATTTTTTAAATTTTTGAGCGATTGCCTTTTGTTAATTTTTTTTTATGTTTCAAATACTAAGATCTAAAAAGTACGCGCATAGAAAGGGTGAGGGGTAAAATAATGAGAAGGCATACATTGTTGATGAAAATGTATCAATGCGCATGACCACTGGAAGACGATGGAACGATGATGAAATCGCGGTGGTATGATGGTACAATCATCGTACTATCGTGTTTTGACCATCGTACCATTGCGTTTTCACCATCGTACCAACGCGCATCGCGGGTACAGACGAAATAAACAAGAGGGCCATGATGGCCCTGAAGTCGCTCACCTGTACATAGGCCCCCGGAGCGGGGCCAGTTTAAACCCCAGGGCTTTTATTTGAACAAACTTGGTAAACAACCATTAGAAAATGTTTCATGCTAAACATCTAAGGTCTAGCTTGTTGGGATTTTTAAAAGAAGATTTTTTAAGTTTTTGCTTTACACATATACTTAAAAACAATGACACATCTGGGGCAGGGCCATTTTTGACCCCAGGGCTTTTATTTGAACAATATTTGTAGACACTTACTAGAAAATGTTTCATGCTTAATATCTAAACTCTAGCTATTCGGGTTTTTTCAAAGAAGATTTTAAGTTTTTGCTATACTCGTATAAGGAAAATCAATGTCCCCTGGGGCGGGGCCAATTTTGACTCCAGGGCTTTTATTTGAACAAACTTTGAAGACACTCACTAGAAGACGCTTCGTGCTTAATATCTAAACTCTAGTTATTTGAGTTTTTTCAGAGGAGATTTTTAATTTTTGCTATAGTTTTACACATATAGGGAAAATGAATGACCTCCGGGGTGGGGCCAATTTTGACCCCAGGGCTTGTATTTGAACAAACTTTGTAGACACTCACTAGAAGATGCTTCATGTTTAATATCTAAACTCTAGCTATTTGAGTTTTTTCAAAGAAGATTTTTTAATTTTTGCTATACACATATAAGGAAATTTGGAAAATCAATGACCCCCTGGGCCGGGCCAATTTTGACCCCAGGGCTCTTATTTGAACAAACTTGGTAGACATCCATTAGAACATGTTTCATACAAAATATCTTAGCTCTAGCTCATTGGGTTCTTTAAAAGAAGATTTTTAAGTTTTTACTATATGCATATGGGGAAAATCAATGACCCCCTGGGGCGGGGCAAATTTTGACCCCAGGGCTTTTATTTCAACAAACTTGGTAGACATCCATTAGAAGATGTTTCATGCTAAATATCTTAGCTCTAGCTCTTTTGGTTCTTTAAAAGCAGATTTTACTATATGTATATAGGGAAAATCAATGATCCCCTAGTGGGGCCAATTTTGACCCAAGGGCTTTTATTTGAACAAACTTGGAAGACATCCATTAGAAGATGTTTCATGGAAAATATCTTAGCTCTAGCTCTTTGGGTTCTTTAAAAGAAGATATTTTAAGTTTTTACTATATGTATATAGGGAAAATCAATGACCCCCTGGGGCAGGGCCAATTTTGACCCAAGGACTTTTATTTGAACAAACTTGGTAGACATCAATTAGAAGATTGTTCATGCTATATATCTTAGCTCTAGCTCTTTTGGTTCTTTAAAAGAAGATTTTTTAAGTTTTTATTATATGCATATAGGGAAAATCAATGACCCCCTGGGGCGGGGCCAATTTTGACCCAAGGGCTTTTATTTGAACAAACTTGGTAGACACACATTAAAAGATGTTTCATGCTAAATATCTTAGCTCTAGCTCTTTTGGTTCTTTAAAAGAAGATTTTTTAAGTTTTTACTATATGCATATAGGGAAAATCAATGACCCCTGGGGCGGGGCCAATTTTGACCCAAGGGCTTTTATTTGAACAAACTTAGAAGACACTCACCAGAAGATGTTTCATGCCAAAAATCTAAGCTCTAGCTCTTTGGGTTTTTTTGAAGAAGATATTTAAAGTTTTTCTTTTGGTCACCATGGCAACCAGAGTTCTGCATGGAATTAAATTCTTTGAACAATTTTGAAAGGTGACCACCAAAGGAACATTCCTGTGAAGTTTGGATGAAATTGGCTGAGTGGTTAATGAGGAGATGTCATTTAAAGTAAAAGTTTACGGACGACGGACGACGGACGGACGACGGACGACGGACGAAAAACGATCACAAAAGCTCACCCTGTCACTTTGTGACAGGTGAGCTAAAAATCACGTTTGTCCAAACGGAACACTGTACGAAATGATTAAGAAAAGTAAATGCTGAAAATCTCATTATACCTGTATGTAATGACTGCAATCACAATAACTATAACTGCCATTGAATAAACAATCATCAAAATTATGTATGCATCAAAATAATCGCTTTCAGGAATGAAATGTTCTTCATCTGCAAATATATATATAAAACATATTGAATCGTTAAGATATTACAAGTCAATTCTATAGTCTTTCTTTATCTGATTCAAGAGGCGAAAACTATGCCTGAAAATGAATAACATTAAGCATGGCCTGTCAACCGGCACTAGAGCATTTATTTTATTTATTAGACGCTGCTTGCACGTCCATTCAGCAATGGTGAAAATTTAAGCTTGTGTGTTTTCGAAGAAAACTGTTATTAGCGTGTACCGGCGGCTAATAGATATGCATTCGTCAATTCAGCAATGTGGAAAATTTTAGTCTTGTTATTTTTTTTGTTTTAACAAAATTAAACGGTAATGAAAATAGCTTTTCTAGTGTACAACATGTCACCGAGCTTTAAGGAATGAATATAAACGTTTAACAAAAGTGAAAGTGCCATGTTTGAATATCATGTTCTTTTTTTTATCTTTTTTAGCAAGTCTATATTCTAATGACGGGAACCAAATATGGAATGGGAACCAAAAGTATGACCAAAATGACTAAAATACGCAACGGCGTATAGAGCGCAACGGACATACTTTCTTTTGAAAATAATTAACAGTGAAGAAATAAAACAGATTAACTGAGTGAAAAATTGTTATAAAATGTATCACAATCATGTGAAATAATGACTGTGAAATGAAATAATTTCTTGGCGCAACGGAGATAAATTCGACTAAAGGGAACTGGAAAAGGGAAATTTATGGTTATAAATAATAATTATCAAAAAAGTTAAATAAATTATATAATTATAATCAATGTAAAGTATCAACATAAAAGTTTGCTGTTAAATTTCATTAGGAACATTTTTACTTTAATGTATTCGAAGGTTAATACATGCTTGCGATTTGGACTTATTCGGGATCTCAGCGCAAACGGAGATAATTTTGTATGAAAGACCAGGCTTATAAATTACAATCATTTGTATTAAATTGAATATTAATATCATAATGAAAGTATTATATTTGCCGGTAAAAAATGTACATACATATTCTCGACCGCCGACGGAAAAATATTTTTCTTTACTTTTTCCTTTTTCTTTGTCTTTTTTCTTGAATTTTATTTTAAGTATTACCAATTATTTCAATTTTTTCTTTTTCTTGATACACCTTTCAATCTTTGGGTTTCAACAATAGACTCACATTTCAGAATTTTCAAGACATGCAAGTTTTTTGTGAATTTATGCATTATGTTCTATTGTTTTTTCCGCAAATTTTTGCAAACGAGCACCATACAAGGGAAAAACTGATGCTTTGTTATATTCAATTTGTAATAACAAGTACTATTCTTCGAAGGGTGAATTTGTACTTTACCGGTAAGTTTTACAGTTTTGAAGTTTTTGTAAATATGAACTAAAATTGAAAAAACAACAACAACAAACAAACAAAGAAAACGAATTAAATTTCATCACTTATGTTATGTTCTTTAATTAGCTAGCAATTTATGTAATGTCATTTAACGCAGTTGTTTTCAGAATTGTTTGTGTCGTTGGATCAGATCTGTCAAACATCCAACAGATCGACACACATATACACACGCGCACGCACTCGCACGCACACACACAAACCCTTGTTGGGTCAATTCTTTGAAAATCGGCAACAAATTAAAATAATTACCCCCAAAATTCACATTGTGATCCATATGCGGATATGTATTCAATATCGAAATATAAAATACGATCTGTTCTTCTATTCGTAAAATACGAAATGCATTGGTAGCTGACAAGCACTGTTTTGAAAATATGTTTTTATATGCAATCAAGGTTTATATTACTTTTGCTTTGGTTTATTATTTTTTATTATTGACTTTGAATGAAAGTGGCAAACGCTCTCTTTTACTTGGGGACCATATGCCGCTTTTCATGGAATGGCACGAAATTGTCACATTGATGGTTCCATGATTACCGCAGAATGAACACATCTGCGGATGTTTCCTAATTTAAAATTTTACCATTACATGATTAAATATTGAACATTGCTTAAGCTGGTGCTATGGGGGCGTGGGCAGCAGTTTGCATTTATAGTACTGTCCATGAACAGGCTCAATGAAACCGAGTCTGCAACATTTCAAACTTTGCCGTTTTGGACTTTCTTTAGGGATTCTATTTTCTCAATTGTGTTAACACATTTGACATAATAAAATTACTTATGAAGTTTTTAATTTAAATATATTTTAAGTCCCCTGTACATTCTTTCTTAACAAATATATATCATTTCATATTTTTAAAGTCATTTTTATACATTAAGGTTCCAAGAGAAGAGATCAGACGGATTACGCTTAGAATGTGTGAAAAGGCGATTTACTGCTGACATTATATACGATGCTCGACAGTAGCTACTGGACTGTACAATCAACTATAGACAAGGAATGATAAATAGTAACCAATTGTTATCACACGGCCATAGCTTTTGCAGAAGCGGTGGGTTCATCGCAGCGGCGATGGGGATTTCGTCGCAGAAGCGGTGGATAAAAGATAGCCCTTTGCTGCTATAGGCAAGTTTATGACTGAATTTTACTTTATGTTTTAATGTTTTACCGGAAATACCTAGTGAGACTGGAGCCCACATATGTGCTTTTCCAGCTTATTACGCGCACGGGGTGGAATTCATTTCCATTTGTGCTAACACTTATGTACAGTTTGACATGGGGACGCCACTTTTGTCTATTTTAGGTTAAAGCACGTACAAATGTGTGCAAACCGGATGGGTTTGCACACATTTGTACGTGCTTTAACCTATTACATCATATGTATAATACTTGCACGAAACAACCATAAATTGGAATTTATGAAAATTGTTATTGCCTTTTTATAAAAGAATTGACAAAAATTGATTTCATCGCAGCGGTGGATTCGATTGCAACGCAGTGCGGTTGTCCCTATATCATTAATGTCTATTGTTAAGGTTTAACTTGACATAACGCATTTTTCAATTTAGAACAACCCTTTTCTTACGCTGACATCAGAGAAACGCTTTCTTTTAGTGTTATAAAATATGATTATATATTATTACACTGGCTGCCGGTGTCGCGTAATTACCACGCGTGTGATTATTACGCGGCGGCGTAATAATCACACGGTTACGGGTAGTGCCGTTAGAATCACACGATTGGTTAATATACTATAAAATAGTTAAATTATATACCATTTTATTGCAAAATGAATTTCGCACCTAATGGTATAACTTTTATGGATATTCATTAATTTTCTAACACACGAGAGGTTTTAATATGAAAACATTCGTTATTAAAAATTATAATTATGTTCTGATAAATAAGTTTTTAAAAGTTTTTGTCCTACTTTTCTAATGTGTTTTCACTTAGTGTTCAAGACAGTTGTGATTTTAAATATTGATAATAGCTATGCGTGTTTGTTATGTTTTGTAAGGGATGTAAATAGACAGACATTGATGTGCCATTTTTCCTTAATTATAATAACATTATCTTAACAAGTTAAATAATGGAATAATGGTTATCAATAAAAGTGCAATCAGATAGACCTACGTATATTTCCGAAATGAATAATTTGTATAAGAAATGTGCTCGCGTTTGATTATATCGCGCCGAAGTAACAACGGTCATGCGTACGAAATTAAATTGTATCATATATTACATATTTGGTTTATGTATAGTATAATACTATTTCTCTATAATTCTCTATAATCAAGTTTGTGTCTACATGTGTCTTCAGCTGACAGTTAATGCAAACTTTTGAAATATTTTGATGTTAAACAAGATCTCGGGAAAATGTATAAACCGCCTGCGATAGATAAGCCATGATAATCGCACGCATGGTTTAATACTAGAATTAATAATATTGTTTTCCAAAATGAAATGTGTCAAATAATTGTGTTTTTTTTACATTGTCAAACACTTTTGTTACACAAAACACAGGAGCATCTTGAAAAAAAAATTGCATTTTTTACATTTCTTTTTTGTTTGTTGTTGTTGTTGTTGTGAATTCCATTTACAAAATGCTATTTGAGAACATTTTATAGACAAATTCATGCAACAGGTTAAGTATTAGACAACACAGTTGTGATTAGGGTGATAAATAGGCAACGGAAAAAATATATGTACAAATCAATGTACAAATGTATCAAACTGAATAAATTGATAATACTATTCAAACTGTTTAATGACAATTCAAAATCAAAAGCATTCAATTTTGCTTAACTGTCATAAGTTTAACTTTAAATGTTGCAAAACATTATAAAAGAGAACATGAAAGGTTACGTGACACGTTATAAAAATATATATTCTGAAAGTAAAAACATTATCAAAAAATGTGCACAATTGTAGAACCATGTTCATAGCCTGAGATCTTCATAATCAGAGCTCTCTAACCAGTACGCTACTTGGATTTACGTATCTATATCCACTTTTATTTTTCTATATAAAAATGTAATAATTGAAAAACTTGCACAACCCATTAAATCATAATGGTACGAGAAGTAATTGAATTTAGAAGGATTGTACATGCAATTATTTACCATGCAAATTTAACAACACAAACAACGTTTACATTTCGCATACTATTTTTTAAGCGATTTGTTTTGCTTATTACTAATATCACACTTTAAGTGGGTGTGGTTGAACTGAAGCCTTCCATGCGAAACGGATAATGGGCAATCACGATAATATTAATGCACAACATTCTCCATTCTGTTTCTCATAGCCAGAGTTCCTTTAAAGTCACATGCTTACCTTTTTTCACTTTTTCACTGTCAAGCTTTTTTGTCAAAAAAACTGACTGTTATTATGGTGATTTAACAGTTATTGATAAATTTGTGGCATCCAATATAAAAATGCTTAAAAACTGCCCTATTCTTTTTTTATAAATTGAACATTTCCGATAAAAACCGAAGGATATTAATATATATTAAGGGTCACAGGGCTACTGATTATTCAAGCAACGTTAACAATGAAACTGAAAACAAATATGACAATTTGGATTTTACATGTGTTCAATAGTTTTAACAATTTATAATGTGGTTCTGTTCTGGTTAAGACCGTGTGACCACGCGTGTGATTATTATGCGGCGGCGTAATAAAGACACAGTTATGGGTAGTGTCGTGATAATCACACGCATGACTTTATATTTAATCAGTTTTATACGAATGATAAATCTTTTTCTTAAAAAAAAAGTTCTGTGTTTAATTGTAAACCTTTTTAGAACACTACTATTTGTTCAATTTGCTTTATTACCACGCCGCGTTATAATCACACGGTTAGGAGTAGTGCCGCGATAACCACACGTATGGTCTTATATACGAATCATATACAATCTTGAGTTTCACTACACAATGTTTCATGACAAGTATTTAACATGTAGCCTTTGACAACTTATAGGAGAAAATTTCAAGTTTATACTACATACATATATGGAAAACCTATGATCCCCAGGGCGCGGCCAATTTTGACCCCAGTGGTAAAATGTGAACACTCTTGGTGGAGGTCTACCAGATAATGCCTTATGCAAAATATCTATGCTCTAGGCCTTATGAAATTCTTTGAACAATTGTGCAAGCTCTTCACCCATGGAACAATCCTGCAAAATTTGGTTGAAATTGGACAAGATGTTTTTTCACAAGAAGATGTTTTAAGTTCACTATATAATCTATAAAACACACACACACACATGCACGCACACACGCGCCCGCATGCACCCACACCTACACACACAGGTAAATCGCCATATGCCACGTGCACCGCAGCATCTACATTCATCTGACGGCAGTCCAACACATTTTCAAAACAATAAGATGACAATTACATTGTTTATGTGTTCACTCAAGCCTTATGAAATTTAATAAAGCTTTTTAACATTTAGAATAAAATGTTTCATTCCACGCTGTTATCAAACAATATGATGTAAGATACATGGTATGGTCAACCTCGTGGACCTCATTGGAGCTAGGTTGGGAGAAGTGTGGGAATTCAAAGATTATTAAATCACGTTTAAAGCATGTGGATTTACCGAAAGATTGCATCAGAAAAAACTAAGCACATAATATGCTATATATCAAAATTAAATGCCCAATATGTTCATTTTTGTGTTTATATATACTATAAAGACATTAATAAATTTCTTTTATTCTGTTTATATAGTTTCTTTTTGCATGGAATTTTATTACAGTCTGTGCTTTTTGTGATACCATACACTGTACCAGTAATCTTTCCGGCACCTCTACTCCAAATAAATAAAAATGGGGTAATTGAACACCAGGACCTTAAATGCACTTCCTTACTGAGTGGGGGATCTGAACATCACTGCCTTCCAGGTTCATCCTGTCTCGACCTCCGGTCTGCCTCTGTCTTGGTACATATCACCCTGTCTCGTGGTCTGCAAGTTCCTACATGTATGGCCAGTTGAGATGTTTAATGTCAAGGACTCACTCAATATGGCTTTTTGACAATCCATAAATATTTCGGAAAATGTCTGTCTTATCATTCATGTGACATTTTAATAATATTAATTAAAATCCTTTCATGCAAAATAGAACTCACTGGTGAGGAGTTAATTAAGGGCTTCTCCCCCTGATACAAAAAAGGTCAAATTAAAAGTTGTACTGTTACAATGTCAAAAATAAAATCAAATATATAGACAATAATTAAATGTTATACAAATATTGACTTTTTAGCTGTTGAATATGATGTGATATGTACTAAAGAAATTAATATTGACCGAGGCAATAGTTGAGGTCTATATTAATTTTTCAGTACATATTACATCATATTCAACATCTAAAAAGTACATATCTGTTTTATTATATGATTTATAAATAGCTTTTATATGGCTTATCAAATCTGCCATTGCATATGACGGAAATCTTTATTTTTAGTTTTATTCCGAAAAGCCTTTAAAAACCTTTTTTAATTAATGTTTGGTCTGTCCTGAACTGTATGTTACAAGAGTGGCACCAGGATCTCTCAAGTTCTCTCCCTTGGACTGTGAATAGCCACCACTGAAGATTTATTGTAGTTGTTGAAGAAAGATAGGCATTATAGGCAAATAGCCATAAGTTTCTTAATTTTCATTGATTTTTTTATCTAAGTCAATTAGATGTATTTTGTACTTAATAGTATAATATCATGTTACTTTACTTACTTTGTTTCATTTCCTAGAACGTTATAATTAGGTAAAATTACCCTATTTTTAATGATTTAATGTATTAGCTTGGATAGTTAGGCATCATAGGAAATTAACCTTAACTTTTTTTAATTTTCAATGAAATTTGATGAGATTTTCTTATTTTATACAATTAGATGTATTTGTTACTTAATATTATAATATTATGTTGCTTTACTAACTTTGTTTCATTTCCTAGGAGGTTATAATCAGGTAAAATTACCCACATTTTTAATGATTTAGTGTGTAAACTCTGATAGTTAGGCATGATAGGAAATTAGCCATAATTTTTTTAATTATCAATGAAACTTGTTGGGATATTCTTATTTTAATCAATTAGATATGCTTGTTAAGTAATATAATAGATTTATGTGGCAATTATAACTTTGTTTCATTTCCTAGGAGATTATAACAAGGTAAAAATACCCCATCTTTTAGTGATGTAGTGTATTTTCTTCGATCATTAGGCATCTTAGGGAATTTGCCAATTGTTTTTTTTTCAATTTGCAATGAAATTTGTTGGGATTTCCTTATTTAATTCAATGAGATATGTCTGTTAATTAATATAATAGATTTATGTTATATGAAGAACTCTGTATCATTTCCTAAGAGGTTAAGATAAGGTAAAATTTCCTGTTGTATCGGTGTTTTGTGCTCTTTCTTTAATAGTTGGGGTTCATAGGGAATTTGCTATAACATTTTTATTTGAATTTGTTGGGGTCTTCTTCTTTAAGTCACCTAAATAAAGCTTTTAATCAATAAAGTTTATTTAGATTGAGTTATCTAATCCATTACTTTTCATGAGGCGTTAAGTATTATTCTTTTTCAGTGAATTTATCTACCTTTGAAACATAAAATTGTTATTGTAGGAAAATTAAAATTACAATCAATTAAAATTGTACAGGTGGCAAGGGATATTAGTATACAAACTGGGTACCAATTAACCTGTTTTATAAATTGATATAAATACATAGGTGATATTTAAGTAAGAGATATTATACTTAGACTTTTATCAGTTATGAGGCTTATAACTTATTTGAGGGAAGTTAGACAAGTGTCTTGGGACTACAGCATACCTAGCTTCCTAGCTGAGGAAAGTTTTTATAGATTTATATGGTTATATATGTGTAGCTTATATATTTTTATGTTAACTGAGGGGGACAGGGGCATAGTACGGATATCATACGGTGGTATTATATTAAGTAATGAATATGGCTCGATTAACCTTAAAAGGGATATAAGATAAAATACAGAATTTAAATATAAAAGAGAGCTATACATGTATATTAAAGCAAGGTATATTATGGACCTCATATAATATCAAAAGGTATTTAGTTTTAAACAAGTAAACACCGAACGGGTGGGGAACGAAGGATTGATACTTTTAAAAGAGACCTTAAATAATAATTATAACTGTTTTATTTTACAAATCTTAATTTACAATGAATGAGAAAAAAGACAACACTACCTTGCTCTCCAATAATGTATTTCATAGAAGATTTGTATGACTCTTTGCGTACATTCCCATATATCGCGGCTACTTTCAGATAGTATTTCCCAGTTATACTGGCATTGGCCACAATTGTCTCTGTATAGTGTACTTGCTTGTTATTTCCGCAATCAGAATTATTTGTACAACTTGTTGCATATTTGTCTCTGATTTCTGGGTTGAATTCTGTTTCAATTTTACTACTTTCCTACAAATACACATAAAACACTTAAGATTCAATCCCACCCTAAAAATAGTTTGACCCAGACAGTCACTATAAACCAATCACAGTTTCATAAACAATACTTTTTGGAAAGCGTCAAGACTCTTTACCAGTTTTCGTTCTTTAATTTAATCGAAATTTTGTAGCATATAACTGTATCATTAGGCATTTTCGCTACAAGTTGGTGCGAGAGGATCTGCATGATTTCATGAATACCAGGATGCTTTTGCTTACATACAATTCTATTTCTTTCTTTCTTGCTAATTTTTTGTGGTTAAGGTCGTTGACTTCAAACCACTTGCCCCTCACCTCTGTGGGTTCGAATCCCGACAGGGACTTTGGATTCTTTCATGTGAGGAAGCTATCCAGCTAGCTTACGGAACGTCGGTGGTTCTACTCAGGTACCCGTTCGTGCCTGAAATAATGCACGGAAGGGCACCTGATTTCTTCCTCCACCAGTAAAATCTGGAACGTCGCGATATGACCTATACTGTGTCGATGTGACGTTAAACCCAAAACAAACAAATCTTGCTAATTAATAACGTTTTGATGAACCTTTATGAGTCAAATATTACAAGTGTTTGAATTGGTCCTAAGATTTAAACTAAAATAATTTTTCAAATTAAGTTGATTGTTTGTTGCAATTATGTAGCTTGAAAGACAAAAACAAGTAAGATATTATAATCACCATTTGGATTATTGGAGTTTAATCTGTTTAAGTATATAATAACTATGTACTTATAAAAACGTATCGCCATACATGATATTTATATCAAAGAACATACGGAGATCATTATCCATTTAAAAGAAACGTTCGTGTCCTGTGAAATACAGCCAGACGTTGCTGATATGGTCCCAGATGTTGTGTTTTCAGCAAGGTGTGGCTCGTTATCTGTAAAAAACGCCATATTTTAACCGTTTTTTGGTGATGCTTTTTTTATATATATCATGTGATTAATATGCATAAGACTTTTAATAACGTTTTACTAAATTTGAGACAATTAATCCAGTATCAATGTTACCGTCAGCGTTTCTATTATAGTTAACACTGCTAAATTATTCTTTATCAGCCAAGTTTAAATGATGTGTCACTAATGAGACGTGTTTGTTTCACATTGTTGCAACGGTGGAAATGAAATTATAAAAAATATTCAATCATGGAAATCAGTCCTTATTTGTAACAAAAGTGAAAAATGAAAAAAAAAAAAACTTTCGGGAGAGCTTTCATTTAATGTATGTTTTGCATCAAGAAATACAAACATCATGAAGTTAATAAACTGCTCAAAATAAAAAGGCGCATGTACATATTTGAATTTCATGTGGCTTTATTAAATAAAAACTCAAACCGGTTATGGTAGCATTATAAAGTATATTAACTCAACAAATCAACAAAAGGAAACAGAGTACATCAGTGTTAAAATCTAAAATCCTAAACAATTGAATATGCAAACAGAATGAAATGAACATTTTCATAGAGTAGTGAACTTCCACAAAGAGTGTTTGTTAGTAATGTGTATGGCCTGACCTTACCCCCTCCCATTTAATATTGAAACATACACAACCCGTTCTAAAAAGCGTCCTTGAATGTAGTCCACGCATGTTTAATGGGAATAATATCAGGAGATAGCGTTAGCTAGTCCATTTCTTCAATGCTCTTTTAATAAAGGTAGTCCATGTCTTCTCTACGTGTGCACGGGTATTATCTTACAGAAATATCCATGCTAATATACAAAGTACAAACTTTTAGGTATTTCAAGACCATTATTGAAAGATCTAGGTCAATATGCAATTTTGCCGCTTGGTAACACGAGGTCCTTTATTCTACTATATAGGTCGAGTGCATGGTCGCAGGTGCAGAATGACGTAAACAACACTCAGAATTAATAATTGGCTGCTGAATGAAGTTTATTTTTAAATGAACATGACACAACAAAGTTTAAGAGTGTAGGTTTATAAACTCGGGAAAAAATCAGTCAAAAATGACTTTTAGAAACTCCTAAGATGACGTTAGATATCGGTACATCTGTAGACATAAAGGCAGCAGTTATTAATATCAAAAACAATATAGGCCTAAGCCAAAGAATGTGTCATGTTTTAATATCTAAAGCTAGGGCTACTTCTCCAGATTAATCTATAAGACAATATGAAATAAATCAATCACAATAACCATCAACAATACAGCAACACTGATCTAGATCCTTGGCCCGGGTTATGGGGGTGTTCACATATGACTGCAACAGGGTCAATTTTCAGAAGTGCTTTACATATTGTGCAAAACTAATTATCTCAATCCTTCAAAAGACTCACCATCATATGATATACAAAGTTTTAGTCTTTTAATCTATTTTTTAAATGCGTTTTAATAATCTTTTGAAGTATACTGTTCACACACTGGAAAATAGCCGAACCGAGAATTTTTTCACGTTTGATATTTTCTTCCAGCAAGGTGTTTTTTAGAGCCTCGGAAATAGGAAAGATCTAGCGAATAATGAGGGTGAAGAAACTCGACATCCTTCTCCTGTTTCAGATATTCTCGTACAATGGCCGCTTTGTGTGACGAAGCATTGCCATGCAAAAACCTGACACCACGGAGACCAGTTGCTGGTCGATGGTTTTTGAAATATTACTTTTATTTATGAATGACCTTGTCATTGTAAAACTTAACATTTACAGATTTACTCTTTGGTACGGCTATTTGAATAGCAGGACCTTGATTGGTAAAGAAAATTACATACATGACCTTTTAACGCTCATAGTGCGTTTTACTGTGCAAGGTCTTAGACTTCCTTTTGTTGCCCATATTTTGTTATGTATCTTTCGCTAGGGCTCATTAAAGTGAATCCACGTATCATCGCCAGTGATGAGATTTGCGAAAGATCGATTGTTGTATTTAGGGAACTGATTAAAGAATTGTTCGGAAATTCTTATCGGAGCAGTTTTTGCTTTTTTGTAAGGATATGAGGTTATCCCTCTGGCGCTTATCCTTCTTATTTTTAAATCACGTCTGAGAATTTCATGAGCGCCTCCTACAAAGAAACCAACTCATTCGGCTATATACCTAGATGTAAATCTTGCATAAATAGCAATCAAATCCTTTACTTTTTAAACCTTTTTTGGCGAAGTTGCAGTTTTCGACAGGTGTGCATGAGGTGCATCGTTTACTGAATCCACATCACTTTTAAGTTTTTTACACCACCGTGTGGCAGATGAAAAAGAAACTTCATTGTTCCAATGAACACGACATATTTCATTAAATATGTCTTACGCCAGTATACCAACATTACAGCAGTTCTTGACCGTATTTGGTCGGAGAAAGGAAACCTTTTTCCAACCATTTTAGCGTTAGTATACACGAGTAGATAGCAAAAAAAATCGAGCTATTGTCAAAGCTAGACTGAACTGATTTACACATGTATTGTTTCAATTGAGAGCTTACATAGCCATCTTTGCGACATTTTTACATAGTTCGTGCAAAACGTGGTTAAAACCGAGATATTGGCCTAGTTGCATTCATATTTGACACCCCTCGTATCTAGAGATTGTTGACTTGTGACAGTACCGTCCATGAACAGGCTCAATCAAACCGAGCCTGCAACATTTTCAATTTTGTCGCGTTAGGCTTTCTTTAGGGATTCTTATTTCACTCTATTTTGACATCATCAGATCAAGCGCACAATTTCACAAATGAAACTAGAACTAATATTATCCTAAAAAATAAAGAACATTAACAAAAGTTAAACAGAATTTTTTTCTATTTCATGTTTTCTAAACAGAATGAGAGATATTTGTTGACAATGACAACTGTTACTGTGTTAAAAGGGCGACAACCAATATTATTGGCAGTGTCTTTACGCCGTATTTCATTTCAGATCTGGCAAAGGCATTAAAGCCGTTACGCCTCCGAGGTCATAACGGACATCATCGGACGGTAAAATTATTAAATATTATGCTTACCTCTGACTGTTATATTGTACGAGTCACTATGAGATCCGTCTGAACATACCAAATTTCTTCCGTTATCTTTCATAGTAACTTTTATTATTGTCAAATTGAAAATACACTGTTTACTATCAAATGAAATATTGTATTGTCCTTCAAGTTCCGGATTAATATCGCAAACGTTTTGTAAGCATTGAGCAATTGCTATTTTATCATTTCTATTCTTCCATACAATTGCAAATGTATCCTTCTTAAAGATGCAAGATAATGTTAAGCTTCTGCCACATTCAGATGGTGTTACATCAGCCAGAGTGCCTGCTTTCTGTATAACAACATCTGGACCTGAATTTTAACGGAATTGCATTATAAAGTGTACATTTGAAGAAAACTAGAAGGTACAAATTATGAGCATATTTATTAGGAAACATATAAATGGTATTGTAAACTGAATGAACCGTGTGAAATAGCAAACAAATTGAAGATTTAAAGTGTATAAAGCCATTTATATGATGCAAAAATAATTGTTTGAATTTTTTAAAAAAATATACCTAAAAAATGCTTGTATGAAATAAATATGGTAATTTATTACATTAAGCGAATGGCGCATGCACAAAATCATTGCTGAATGGATAAAACTCTAATAATATTTTGTTCCGCAAAATTTTATTCTGTTTATGTACATTATTCTTGTGCATTAAATAACAGAAAAATTCTATGTTTTAACTTTTTCGGATTGTAGTAATGCATTTACAACAATCCTATATGCTGTGTTTAATTTGATATATGCTTCATGTGCTACATGACATCGTTCGTTTCACACGGTACTCCATACAAGCAAAATAATGTTGTTTGTAAACAATATATATCGTCGGTAACCTAAAACAGTAATACCACCGATAGTTGTGGACATTTTTCCCGGTGCCTGGTTAAAACAGTGCGACATTATAATCTCAAGACCGGTGTTTTTATATAAAATGTAAAGAGAAGGAGGAACTGTTACACGTGGATGGAGTTCTTTTGATAACTTGTCAGGATTTGTACTGATAACTGTCACGGAGTTCGTCGAAAACTTTTATATATGCCCAAGAAACACTTGTCAAAAATGGTAATTTTTTTTCTGTCAAGAGTTCGAGGTGCGAAATTAAACTTTGAATATATAGAATGCCTTACATATTGTATTATGTGTCAGAAAACAACAACAGCAACAACATAATTGACCTTTTTTTCATTGCCTCTTGTTTATCTGGTAGTTTTAAGTAAAATTTTCAAATTAATTGCCCATCCGCACATATTGATCTGTTCATTTGTGATGTTCTTCCTTGCCAGACATAATTTCCAAATTATAATGGAAGGTCGCAAACATAAAGCACCGGTTGACACATTTTTGCCCGATTTTTCAAATGTCCTAGAATTCTTCTGAAAACTCTGAAGATGCACTTGAGTTCTTTTGATATTTTTTGTCACTGCAAGTTTTATTGTTTTTTGATTATTCAATAAGTGTATAAATCATTTTCTTAAGTTTGCATTTGTCCAATTAGCTAATTAAGTATGGCTAGGAAGAAGATCACAAATGAACAGAAAAAGCAAATAACTACCTAAACAAGAGGCGATGGAAAAAATGGACAATAAAGTTTTTTCTGACACATAATACAATATGTAAGGCAAACTTAATCATCAAAGTTTAATTAAGCACTTCAAGCTCTTCTTTTAAAGATGAAAATTACCATTTTGACGAGTGCTTCTTCGACATTTTCCGAAGAACTTCGTGACAGTTATCAGAAAAATCTTATATCATGCTCTTTCACACTATTGTTTAATTCGGTCTGAGCGGTGTTTGTCGGCTATTTAACACCGGTTTTGTCGTTTTATTAACCGCTCAGTCCTACGGCCTTCGTGGTCAATTCCTTCGCATTAAAACTCCAAACCGGTGTTAAATAGCCGATAAACACCGCTGAGACCGATGATATTTTTTAAACAATCATTTAAATTACAAAACGGCCAAATTTTTTTTTGGTTCATTTGAGATTTAAAACGTGCTCTCCGTCAACATATAAATAGAAAGTTTCTTTGCATGTAGAAAAGTCAAAATATAATATAATTATATTGAAACATATAAAGAACAAAGTTTTGCTTATCTTGAAATTATCAGTGAAAAAAAAGGCGACGCTTTGATAATTAGTACCGACAAAATCATCACATACAGGTATAATATATTGTAGACAGTCATAACTAATTGCACCTAAAATTGAATAGCACTAGTTTTATATTCTGAATTTCAAACAGTGAGAGCAAAAATCTTTAAAGATCTTCGTAAAATTCCAATAAAGAACGAGATTTATAACATCTTATAACAATAAAAACACAATATATGTAAAAAATTTCATTTCATGAGATTAATTGTTTTCTTACTAGTATTCACATGATTGTATTAAATACTTCTTCCTCAAACTGATATTACAATAAAGATTCTGTAGTTGATCTACAAGTCATCTTATTAACATTTCTGACCAATTTCAAGGACATTTGGACCAAAATAGTAGCTTCTCTTGTGCTTACAAGGTTTCTCAATATATGTTTCTCAATATTTGGACTGTACGACTAGGATAATCCATATTCGAAGATGAGCTAGAAAATTATTGGACATGAGCAAGTAAATTACCAAAACAACATTTTCTGACAAATTGTCAGGATGTTTGGGTTGCAAATGTTACCTCTAGAGTGTAAACAAGATGTTTCCTTATTTGGGCTGTATGATCTAGTTTTTTACCCCAGGTGACATTCGAACTTGAGCTAGATATCATCAAAACAACCTTTCTGGCCAATTTCCAGGATATCCGGATCAAAATAATATCAACTAAAATGTTAACAAGATTCTTATACTTTAGCTACTGTGACCTAGTTTTTCATCCGGCGAGATGACCCAAGTTCTGACTCGTCCGAGCAATTACTTGGACAAAATCCTGTCCAAGTTTGGTGACAATTGAGGCAAAACTGTAACCAATAGAATGTTAACGAACTAAATGTGGACAGACGACAAACGACGAAAGACAGATGACAGACGCCGGACATTCACCGATCCTTTAATCTATTCCTGGGCCAGCTTAGGTGAGCTTACAAACAACACACATTTTTTTACAAATGAAAGAAATCTAGTAGAAAAATTTGTCTTACCATTTATGCTAATAATTTGAGAATCACTGTGTAATCCGTCTGAACATACCAACTTTTTCCCGATGTTTTTCACTTTTATCATTGTCAAATTAAAAATACCCTCTGCTATACCGACTGAAATTTCGAACTCTTTAACATAAACAGGATTTAGATCGCAGACATTTTTTATACATCGAGCAATTGGTGTTACTTCGTCTGAATACTTCCATAAGATAGCGGCAGTGCCCTCCGTAAAAGAGCAAATAAATGTTATTTTTCTGCCACATCCATATTGAATGTCGTCAGTCAAACTGCTTGCCTTTTGTACAACAACATCTGCAAATTAAAGTGAAAGATGCTATAACTGTTCGTAAGAAGAAGGTTTAACGGTTTGATTATGAATGTACCACATATATCAAGGGACAGGACGTAAATTGTTGCTCACTTTTTGCTCAAGCGAAAACAAATAGTTACAAACTTGACAAAATTGCTACCGAGTCATAAATATTTACAAAGCTCGCACATACTTTTCTCAGGTAAGTGGGTTTGTTTGTTATTTTGAAATTCTTTAATAAGCACATTCATTAAAGCAATTTTAATAGGACACTCTGTTTAAGGTTTTAGCATCCTGTGATCTGATATGACGAAGTTATTGAAGTTATAAGCTCATTTATGTTCAGCTGTAATTTTTGAAGTTCACCAAACAAGATAAAATATGTATCTATAAATACTGTGTAACATTTTAATATGTATGTTCAAAACAAAGTTTCAATACAAAATCATATCTGGATCAAGCGCATTTTGTTGCAAACTTGTACTTCAAGCATTTCTGGTTGCAAACGTATTATTTTAGTCGAATGTAAAACTGCCAATTATTCAACGCTATTGATTAGTCACATATATTTCCTTGAAGATTTTATACAATTATGTAAATTATTTTTACATTGCTTTGACATTTTTAGAGGTTTCTTTATTTAGTTGTCAATTGTTATAATTTATTGGTAAGGCCACTCCATGTCCGACTTTTGTGCCCTCTCCGGCTTTTTGTTCGGTCCCCTACTAAGTGTGCAACCACGTCACGTCCTGTCCCTTGATATACACAGGGTAAAAGCGAACATGGGTTAAGAAATACAACAAGTAAAAATCACTTATCACTAAAAATTGCGTCTTCCTGTTAGATGTCTTATTGTTAGCGAAAACTTTAAGCGTGTTCATTTAGTCTGTGAAATGTGCAAAAGATGAAATTTCTAAACAAAAAATTAAGTTTGTTTTTTTCTTAAAGAAAAGTTGTATGTTTCTACAAAACGAACCAGTTACCAAGTATAATGAATATACATCTAGGGGAACAAAATAGGTACAATGAATATATTTCTACCATAAAACAAAGAGCTTCTTATGAAAGGCATGGAATATCTAAAAATTCACGTTCTCAATAATTCATGTTCTTACGCTTTGATATCGTTGATACTTCGATTTATATTTAAGGAAAATAAATATTACCTGTTTTAATGGCAGCAAGTACTGATGGCAAAACTAGTAGTGAGAAGATTACTACATTCTGAAAAGTAAAATACGTGTCCAACGGCTATATGGCTGAATACTTTTCGTTTGTTACATAAATGTTAATAGGTTATTTCAATGAAGTACAATCAGAAGTCAATCTTAATATATTTTAAGTTGATTGTCATACGCCTCTCATGTAACTTTTTGAAAACTGAAAAAAAACTTAAATATTTATCATGAACTGCAAACATAGTCATGAACTGCAAATATGGTCATAAACAAATTAATTGAATATCGAGCCTCTGTAATAAAATATCATATTCTACTGTTAATTCAGTCAATTACAGACTCTTATAGAAAAGTTAAAGAACACGTTGTAATAGCTTGTAATGGAATTGTAATATGGCTGGAATGGCGTTTAATGTTATATCTAATTATATGCCCGATGTGTAATCCCATAAGACAGAAAATACAAAATTCCGAAATAATGGATAATGTGTTATTACAATTTAAGTAAAACCTGACCAGGAGCTAAGGCGTGAACACTATTTAGCTGTATTTATGAACGCACATGTAAGTAAAATTTCAAAGCATTTGTTGTAGATAATGAACTATTAAGTTGTAAGTCGTGATTAATAACCGTTACATGTCCTAAAATTAAAGGGACTCCACTGATGATGAGACTGAAACATTTTTTTTAGATAAATGTACCATTTGATGTAGGTTTAGACCACTAATAGTTTTGCAAAATTTCAGATCATTTGCACACTTCGTTTTTCCAGAATAATTATTCAATTAGTAAAAAAATGATACAAAATGAAAAGTGTTTAAACGCTTTTCACTCAAATCGGGCAAAAAAAAAGCATAAAAATACGATTTTCAATTTATTTAAAAGTATATTTCTTAACTTTCTTTGCATATATTTCTGTTTAAAGTGCCTAAGCTCATTTATGTAAAAATTCAAATGCTATTTTTTAGGCGTTTTAAACCTCAGTGGAGTCCCTTAAAAGCATACTTACATTCATTTTCGGGGCTGGAACAAAATTAAGGCATCTTGACAGACTAGGATAAGTGCCTTTGGATTATGCACGGACTTTGTCCTATAGAATTTAACAAAAGTGATATTCTGAAATATAAAGTTATATAAAGCTACATATATATCGCCGTTATTATGGTGATCGTATTTTCAACGATTATATTTCGGCTATTTTTTAATGATCAATTGTTAAGTAAAAATGTCATGAAATGGTTACAAGCAGAGTATAAACAAAGTGAACGGAGCAAACTCTTTAGTTGTGTTATAATTTCAGCCAGGTATCATTGCTTATTTCTTTTGCGCGGTAGTACATTTGTCTATAGAAATATCTACATAAACAGTATTTATTTAACGGCTATAAACTTTGCAGAAATGTCCTTTATTCGATATTTACCCTATTTAAGCTTTGTGAATTAGTATGTCAACTTACATAACCAATAATTATGCTTAACCCATCACCGTGATTAAGTTTATCAAAATGATTAGAATTTATATGTGATAGTTTTTACCTTACAAGATTAATATGCAGAAATTCCAGTATCGTTTTAAAATGAATATTTCAAAACATTGAAGAATGCAAAAAAAAATATAAATTTTTATTGCCGATTAAAAATGACAAAGATACAAAGATTCAAATTGAAACAAAAATACCACTGTGTATCTGATATTAGATATCTGGTATTCTATTATGGTATGTACCTATCTATCAATGCATAGCATGTATTGTACATTTTTCTCGCTCAATATAAATATTTTTAACCTTTCAAGATGATAGATGATAAAAATTTATAAATACGTTCATTGACAGTTACTAATGTTTATACTTATTTGGACGGTGTTGGTTTGATTTTATGTTTATGTGTTTGACTGTCTACTTTACTGACTATTAAATAAGTCTCAATGTATTACTAAAAGAAGTCCGTCGGAAGGCATAGCAACAGAAAAATACCTACAACATAGAAAAATTAAAAACAATTCACTGAATTGAAAAGAAAATCGTATTTTCTTAGTCCTATTTCATTGGAAAGCGTTGAATAGAAAAGAATTATTATTCTGGAAAAACGGAGCGGGTGAATGAAGTATGAGTTTTGCACACAGGTTCCAGTCCTGTCATGTCAAGGAACTTCAGTGAAAATTTTCACTTTGCCCGTCAGATGCAATCGAAGGGCGAAAGCGTACAGTTCAACTGTAAAAGCAAGCATGAAGAAGAAGAATTTTATTTCAAAATCCACATGTAAACAACAACAGTCTGGTTTAGGCTAATAAGCCCTTGACCTGACACAAAATTAAATTACAACATTCTCAGCAATACAATACATTACACAATACATTACAATACAATAACGGACATTGAATAATAACATTACTCACTTTCAACATATTGTTACATTAAGACTATATGATGTCATTTACATTTTAATTCATATCAATTATAATTTCATACATATTTATCTCTTTGATTATTTGGTTTGTTACCTTGTTCTGTATGTGTTCTTTTTACTAAACATCAATGGTTATAAATGTTTACTTGTTTTATCATAATATGCTCATATATAAATATTTATAATGTTTGGTATTACGAACCTCCTACAAATGTATGTAACATAATGCCTTGTATCGAAAATGAAATTACAAGACCATTATTTTTACTACTAAAACTCTAAAGCATGACATGTTTTTATGGCAGATATGAATATGTCAGATTTAGACACACATACAAATATGCATTTTAGTATTTGACAAATTGCCTTGTATCGAAAACGAAAGTACAAGACGAGTATGACGCATACAAGGGAAATAACCATGTCAATTATAATGTAAACGATAATCAAGATTTGTTTACCTTTAGTTTTTGCTATAATAAAAAGTGTTTAACAAGAGGATAATAAAAAAAAACTATGAAAAGAACAAGAAAAAAAAAAAGAAGAAGAAAAAAAAGAATAACGAACATGATACAACATATCGAACATTTAAAAGGTATCAAATAAAGTTTGAAAATAGGAAAATGTTTTTACATGTAAAGAGGAACATATGAAAGTTCAGAAAGGAACTTTAGAATCATACAGTATATAAATATTTATTACTCTCTAAGATTGCAATGTAGATTCTTTTCTAATCTCGAAAGCTTTATAGACAAACATTGCTAAATTTCTTACAATTTGTACTGAATGAGAGTTAAACAGTTCTGCAGTTTTATACATATTTGGGTTTATTACGTAATATTGATTGATATATCGCTTCCTAATAGAGTTATACAATTTACATTCAAACAATAGGTGAAATTCGTCTTCTAATTTTTGACATGCACTACATAATCTGTCGCTTAAGGAAATGTTACCCCATCTGCCAGTTTCAACACTTAAATGATGAGCTGACAGTCTTAATCTGGTTAAAGCTGTCAAGTATTTACTTATATTAACATTCTTTAGATAAAATTTTGCAAATACTCTATAAAATCTTGCTCTTGATGATAAATTTATACGACTTGTCCATTCTTGAATAAAAACATCTGAAATTCTTTGTTTTAGCTTAGATAAAAACAATGTTTGGTTACCAACACCCTGAGCTAGCCAAACTTCGAAAAATCCTAAATTTCCTAAAACGTCTCTGACTTGAGATGCCCAGTTTATTATCCTGGGTTTTTCTTTATCTAAATCACTTAACATTTGCAAGTAAATCAATTTGATATATTTTCGTTCGATACTACTTGTAACTTTTAACCAATATTTAATTATTCTAAAAATACGCTGTGAATAAAGATCTGTTCTACCAAGTTCACCATAGATAAAATCATTCTGAGTAGAGGTTTTAACATAAAAAATAGATTTACAAAATAGAGTATGAATTCTTTCTATTTGTGGAGCTTTTGTTAAACCACATACCTCCGAACCGTACAAAAGAATCGGTTTAACTAATTTATCAAATAACTCTAAAGCGTGTTCAATTGTAATATTAGTGTATTTGTACAGATACTTTCTTAACCTAAAAATCGCTTTCTGTGCTTGACCGGATAAAGTTTTATGAGTCTCACTAAAAGAACCACCTGTCGTAAAAACAATACCTAGATATGAAAATTTGTTAACTATTTCTAAAGGATATCCATCATAATAAAAGTTAAGATTTTGTGGCAGGCGGCCCCCTTTCCTGAAAACAATTACTTTTGTTTTAGCCTTATTAAGACATAATTTCCAACGATTACAATACTTATGCAAAATATTAAGATTATCCTGTAATTCGTCTTTTGAAGAAGCAAATATTACAATGTTATATACAATTATTACAAATATTAAAATAACCGATGTCTATGCCTTTTGACCCTTTTAAATAAAACTTGTCTTCAAGATCGTTTAGATACATTGAAAATAAAAAAGGGGAAATACTTTCGCCCTGTCGTACTCCTAAATAACTTTCGAATATTTCTCCTACATTATTATTTAATCTTACTCTAGTTGTGACACAGCTGTAGAGACATTTAATAACATTATAAAGCCTACCACGAAGTCCCTATTGATAAAGTTTATACCAAATGTTTTCTCTTACTAGATAGTCGAATGCTTTTGAAAAATCTATGAATGCACAAAACAATTGTTTATTATTATTAATAATATGATTAATCAAACCATGTAAAACAAAAAAATAATCAGTGGTGCCCATTTTGGCTCTAAATCCCGCTTGAGATTATACGTAAACGTAATAATTTTCTGCCCAATGTGTAAAATTCTGGAAACAAAGTGATCCCTCGGAAGCATTAATCACAACAAAATAACATAAGAATTGCAGACTCGGTTTGATTGAGTCTGTACATGAGAGATAATGAATAAGTGCAACATCCCTCACGCCCCCTAGCACCGGCTTGAGCGGTACTCAATTCTCAACACTTTATAGTGTTGGCATCAATGATCCCGAAGGACCAGAAAATATAACAACACTGAAGTGAAGTACGGGGCAACTTTTTACGGCTGCCACACAGCACTTGACACCTGCTGTTGTGAAGTACAAAATTCTGGAAACAAAGTGATCCCTCGGAAGCATTAATCACAACAAAATAACATAAGAATTGCAGACTCGGTTTGATTGAGTCTGTACATGAGAGATAATGAATAAGTGCAACATCCCTCACGCCCCCTAGCACCGGCTTGAGCGGTACTCAATTCTCAACACTTTATAGTGTTGGCATCAATGATCCCGAAGGACCAGAAAATATAACAACACTGAAGTGAAGTACGGGGCAACTTTTTACGGCTGCCACACAGCACTTGACACCTAGTATTAATTAAACGTGTGAATAATTTTCCGATAACGCTTAAAAGTGTTATACCTCTAAAGTTTTCAGCTTCCGACAGACTTCTACTTTTATGTATAGGAACAATGAGACCTTCGCTCCACTTTTTAGGAAAATACCCAAGATATAATAGTTTGTTAAAAAGATTTAAAAAATAGCCAGCTAAAACATTTTTTCCATGAATAAGAAATTCGTTTAATATTCGGTCCGGGCCTCCGCTCTTATTCAAATTCAGATCTGATATGCCCTTCAAAATATCTAAACGAGAAAAGGGTACATCTAACTCAGAAAACATATCATTTAATTCTTGTTTAACTTTCTCATTAAAGTATATAACGTCGTCGTCAGCTTGAAAAAATGAGTCATCAGGATTATTAATTGCTTTGAAATAATTCGTGAAAGTTTCTAAAGATATACCTTTTGGTGCCTTTGGTGCAACTGATTCCTTAAGCATTCGCCAATAAAGTCTAGCATTTTTATATTTGGCATTTAGTAATTTATCAGTGTTTTGTTTGTCTTTTTCATAATTAAAATTCCTAACATTATTCTTATAAATACTTCTTGCTTCTATCATTTCCTTTCTATTTATGTCATTTTTATTGCGCCTATAGTTATTAAGTTTTTGATAAAAATCTTTCCTGCTATTGTCACAGCTATCATTGAATTGTGTTGAATAATTGTTATTTGATTTAATATGAGCATTACATTTAACTGTTTTCTTAAACATTGGTGAACAAACTTGATCAATACAACTAACAAAACATTCAATATTACTGTCAATATCATTACAACATTGAGCATTTTCTACAGATTGGTTTAAGTCATTTATTGCAGAAATCGATATACCTTGAGAAAATTGGGTCATAGCCTTATTTAATCAAACAATTAATAATTTTGGGTATTTTGTGTTTGTTTGTCTGGAGATTGGCAGTCTGTGACTGCCTTTTGTTATGCTAAATAATATTTGTAAAGCTTTGCTATTCTATCGTCACTGTTTGGCCACAAGTAGATCTTAGCATAATACCAAGATCACATCACAACGAACATGACTGCTGCTGCTGCCCCTGTCATCGAAGGCTAAATTCTTAGAAAAAGAAGATGTCGATGACTAAGACTTATTAGCAGTGGATAAATCGGTACAAATCCCATTTGAAATATTGACAACATACGCTTAGAGCCTAATAACCCAGCAGTAGAATTGTATGGTCTCTCTTAAAGGAGTGAAAATTCCACAATAAATTTATAGTAAGAGTCTGTGGAATTCTCATTTTGGTCATCTGGACAGCAAAATAAAAATGGGGATCGACATGAAACCCATTTTATGAACGAAATGACTTATTTTTGTGCGGAAAAGCTGCGTTGTGTTATCGTTAGTTACTCATTCTGTAACTTCACTCTTTGAGTGGAAGCTTATGCCCTTAACACAATTTATACACTTTACATATTAAAGCTGAATGTAAAAGAACTTTTCAAGAATTTGAAATCTAAAATATATTTTTTACTAGGTGAATTACTAATATAAGAATAATCGTACACATCTTAACAGCTTCTTGAAGCGTTAATCTAGATTTGTATCTATCAGTATACATTTTATTTTAAATACCCATTATGCCTCAGAAATGCTAATAATTTTATTTCCTAAGCTTTATTTTTTCGTTATCTTGTTACAATTTAGCCATATTCATGACATATGTTTTGCTACTATTGCTTTGTTAACAACTAGTATAATAAATGTGAATTAGTATTGAGGCATATTGAGCCTTTGAATAACTTTGAATAACTTTAAGTTTTATGCTTACCCAACCGATGAATTGATCTGATTTTAAATCGAGATATTTAATCTTGCTAGGTTCCTTAAGATAAGATCCACAAAGTATAAACAATGGTTAAGATGTATATAGAAAATACCTGTCTATCTGTGCTAGTTACGATATCATTTTTGCCAATGTAGGTATATTTTATGTGATTGACTGTTTTTGAAAAATGAATTTATTATTTACCATCAACTTCAAAAAATTATCGTACATTCTTTTTCAATGTACTTAATACTTTAATATCATTCAATTGTCCATGAAAGGTTTGTAAGCTAGTTAAAGCTTAGTAATACTGCTTGACTTGTTTGTTATTAATCATTTAAAAAATTATCTCAGAACAATCTGGTGTTCAGATATATTTATGTTTTGTTTGATTAATTATATCTGATCTATTTCTAATAAACAGATAAATAAAACTAAATAACTTTAAAGGATAAATATAGAGTGACGCGGTGGCCAGGTCCACTTTTACGGTAACATTGAACAATTTACTAGTCAAGCAAACTAGATATCAAGGAACAGGACGTGAAGTGGTTAGCGAGAAAATTGGTTGCAAACTTGAAAAAATGGTCATCTTGTCATGAATATTTTACAACACATGTAAGTGGGTTTGTATGCTTTTTTGAAATTCTTTAATATACCCATTCTTTAAAACAATCTTAATATAACACGGTTTAAGGTTTCAACTTCCTTTCATCTGATATCGTGAAGTTATTGAAGTTATAAACTGGTCATGTACATATTTTGAGATTTGACAAGTTACAATCCAGAGCGGTTTTAAAGATCATTTATTCACATCTGTAAGTTTTTAAGTTCACCGAACAAGATGAAAAATATATCCATCAATACTGTGTAAATGTTTTAAGTTGCAGGTTCCAAACACAGTTTCAATACACAAACATATCTTGTTCAAGCGCATTTTGGTTGCAGACTTTATTTTAGTCAAATGTAAAACTACCAAAGGATCCAACGATATTGATAAGTATACATATATTTACTTGAAGATTTTATATTGTGTTACTTCATTTGCTTTTTAATATTTTTAATTGCTTTGATATTTTAGGGTTTTCTTTATTTCGTTGTCAATTGTTATAATTTATTGGTACGACCACTCCATTTCCCGACTTTTGTGCCCTCTCCTGTTTTTTGTTCAGTTCCCTTCTGAGTGCCTTTGCGGTAGCCCAGTGTGACTGGATGTTGTTGTGGGCTGCATTCTCTTAATGCAAATTTCCATTGTTAATCTTTGTTCTAATATTATTTTCCTGTCTTACAGCTATCATACACGTACGTATTATTTTCATTTGCACGTTTCTCAGTTTATTAATGAAAATGCATAATGGGATAGAAACATATATCGTACTTTCTGTAATTCTAGCATACGTTGTTTTTATTATTTATCTTAAATGTCTTACCTTTAAAAGTATAGGTTATTGAAGAATTACCATATATCTGCCGTCAATTCGTTTAATCCATCGCGGCCTTCTAGTAATTAATAAGGTGTCAGTGTATTTTGTAATGTTGTAATTTTATCTTTACTTCAATTAATTTCACACTTTTGTAGTAATTCAATCTAAGATTACGTATTATTTAATTCGATTATTATCTCCACTTCCTAATTCTTTTTTTTCTTCTTCTTGTACAATTTTGTTTCCTTTTTGCTGATAGGACATATTAAATCGTTACATTTTTATTACTAAAAATTCCTGTATGATTACTCCATTATCATTTAAACACACACAATGATTCGTAAATTTTCTATATCCAAATCGTTTTACGTCATAGTACGTACTGAAAATAGACATAATATATGCTATTTTATAGCCCATGACAAGGCTAAATTTAACATGAATCGCTTTTCGAATTAATACATTAAGCATGTACGTTAATTCTGATACAACTACGTCTTACAATTTTAACATGTAAACATATAGTACGTAAATGCTGAGGTTTATTAGGTTAGTTCTTTTCATTATAGTGTGTAAAGTTTGGCCTAAATTATGTTAATCCTGAGCTACGCGCGTGGACGGTAACTTGCAATTTCCAGTACCGTCCATGTACATGCTCAATCAAATATGGTAAACAACATCAACAATGAAAGGCGGCGTTCAATGAACGCAACACTCACACGACCTAGCAACAATAACCAGTGGCAAGGAGTCCAGGAGCAGGAGGACCCCCAACAAAAATGGGAGAGGGCGCAATGCAGAGAATGGACAGGCTAATCACTTAAATGATACATAAAAAGAAAAAATAATTACTGATAAGGAAATTAATGTAAATAAGTAATTGAGTGCTTAATAAGCCCACAAAGTAAAGGGGCACATGGGAAAGGGATACGAGATTCATTCGGGGAAGGGAGGGGCAAAGCTACAAAAAGAACAATTTAGGTGCTTAAGGGAAGATACTTACCGTAGACGAAAAAAAACAAGGGACACAAACAAATGTGACACCAAAACAGTATAAAACAACAAAGCGGTTTAAAATTTCCCCATTTTCGTGTTGAAATGCAGAATTCTGCTTAAGTCGGTGCTAGGGGGCGTGGACCCTAACTTGCACTTTCTAGTACCGTCCATGAACAGGCTCAATCAAACAGAGCCTACAACATTTCCAATTTTACCGTGTTGTGCCTTCTTTAGGAATCTGTATTTCTCTATTTTAAGTAAAAGTGCAACATTTATATATTCATCATGTTTTATCAATCCACTGTATATGTTGTTTATAGTTTGGATTTAGTTATTATTCATAATTCTATGTCAATGCTCATTATGTAAACATATTATAAACGGTAATATAGTTGATAATCACCTAACGTTTCAAGGGAAATAGATCAAAATATAAACATATTGATTGTTTGCAATACGGCTTTAAAAGTTACGTCCCTGGACTATCCAATTTCAAACCAATACATGTTGGAGTTGAGTTAATTTAGTTACACATAATAGAAATTTCCGTGAAAGAATATTTATAATTTATTATTTATATTTTTTCTTGGAAGAGGGCTAATTAAACACGGTTTAAATTGGTTGAGCAGATTAGTGGGGATCTGTCCGGCTATCTACAGCCAAAAAGGCAAGACTTATAGTAGTAATCTTTATTTACATCTCATCATTGTACAGACATATACACAATGTTAAAAAGTTACAGCATAAAAGTACAATGCCACTCCAGCATGGAGTTATAAGAGAAGAAAAATCTATATCACAATATTAGGATATAAATATACATATAAATCATTAGAACAACACGTTTAAGTGATAAAACTGAGAAACCATTGCTATACATAGACTTCTAAAAGGAAACATCGTGACTACCTGAAAGAAACAATTTAAGATAGTAAGTATACAACATTAAAATTGAGAAATCGTATAAAAATAACTAAAATAACGTCCGTTTTCCAGTCAAACTTTCTGCCCAACATTTTTGCACCAGAAAACTAATATTTATAATTAATTGTTTAGACGTATTATTCTTTTTTTTTTTTGTAATTTAGCCCGAGCATATCACAAAATGTATGAGATATCAACTTGAAACTTTGTAGGTGGATAAATCTCATTTAGGAAGAGTGCAATGAGTAAGCATAATAACTATAATCTTTATATTTTATAGTAATTGCCCTTTTTTGTAAATCATACTTACATTTTTGTTAAAGCTTTTTTATCTGAACTCTTACTCATAAAATTTTCGAGACATACTCTTGAAACTTCAAAGGTGATTAGAATAAATTTGAAATTTCAGTGGATGGTAAGCCAGTAACCAAAAAATATATTAGAGTAATTTATACTTGCTTATTACATCTAAATTGGCACATTTCATTTCATTCACTTTCATCTTCTTTCTTATTTGAGTTAAAAGTTATTGATATAATATTCACCTTTTATAGTTGTGGAAAGTTTCATCTTTTGTGATCTTATGCAAGATATTTTAAACACGAATTTTAACTGGAAGAATATTCGAAACATGTTAACATTAATAAATATAGAATTTTGTATCACCTGAAGGAAACCTCAATATCAGTCAATTAGCTTCTTTATTTAAGAAAGTTTACATCAAACCTCAACCGTCATCCCTCTGGTTTTAGAATGCTGACATAATGTTTTAGTTATATTCTTGATTTAACTTATATCATTATAACTTGGCAGGAAATATAATTTGATAATTTGGAAGTGAGACTCTCCATGTTTCATCAAAATCAACTAAGGATTTTGTCATTTTAAACAGATTTTCCATTTTTACCTTTATCTAACAAAAAACTTGTTGGATTATAAAAATTTATATAAGGAAATGATGCGCCACTGTTTTTAATTAAGGTCATTTGTAAATTAAAATTAAATCAAAGACAAATGTACAAATTTCAGCACTTTTAAACAAGTGATGATACATAGAAATATTTTATTTTTGTTATACATATATCTTTTTTAAACTAAATGTACAATGTATACTTGAATGTAATTGTTTTAAAAATGTAAAACATTTTTTTTTTAATTTGATCATTTGAGCACAAACTTGCAAACATTCATTTAATTTGAATCTTAAAACTCTTATAGAAACAAACATTAAATGTAAGACCAAAGTGTATTTCATAATGACATTTCATCTAGTAAGGATGACAATTTTCTTGCCGCTCCTAAATTGATGGGCCTTTGTATAGTTTTTTCTATTTTTTGTTTTATTTTGAATGTGTGTTGAGGTAGGGGCGCTAAAAAACTTTATCTTAAAATTAAACTTAATAATGTTATAAAATATCGCATGGCAAATATTTGTATTATATCAAATTTGTGTTTTGTGTGAAAGTGGTAACGTTTAAATATTTTACATTTATGTAGGTAATGTTATTAACTGAATTAATGTTTTGTAAATGATAGAATAAAAAGCGCTATATATTGATACTTTTATTCGTTTCATTTGTTGTTATACCCTCTCTAACAAAGTTCGAAGGATGTTATTAAACAAGAGTAAGTCTAATTTCTTGGAGTTTTATTATATCTGTTTGTACTAAGCATGTATATGTACTGTACGTGCAAATGGTATTTAAACACCCCCATTTTACAAAGCAGAAATGGTTCTATGACTTTTTTTATTGTGTGAGTGTTACATGTAAATTGCATATGCCCATTGAGATTAACAAGCGAAACAGCTCAATAACAGAAAGTAAATTTATGTAATAAAAAAAAAGATAAGATGAAATAGAAAAGCAAGCGCCTAGTGCATAAACTAAATCAGCCCTACTGGAATTATTGCAAAGATAAAATCATGGTACTTCGCATTGATTTGGAAATTCCGGAATCTAACTTGGGTTTCAACTCCAATAATAGATAGATATTGTAGATGACAACTGTTTAACTTAAGAAAAAGGATTTTGTTTGCATTATTCTGGAGTTAATATGATTTGATATTGTTCGTATAGCTCATTTATTATGTAATGTATGTAGGAGAGTGTTTGTTTTTTGTCGAGAATATGGCTTAATTATAATGATGTGTATATAATTATTATTCCATCCCAGATAAAGCTTAACACACAACTGATTCTTTCCCTAAAGGTTCTGTGCTACTGTAAGCATCAGTTTAATGTTGACGTGTAAAGCTCCCAAAGAAACCAATTGTACCCAGTGAAAAATTGTAAACGGAACCTAATTTTTATACTTGTCGTTTTAAAAAGAGGAAAATGTGCAACTGATATTTACTTTGTTGCTGATAATCATACTTATAAAACAAGTTGTTAATGTAATTGTACTTTCAATGTCAATATAAAACATGTGACTATCAGTAATTAAGGTCAGCGATGGCTTTTTTACGTGAGTTTGATACAGTGATTTTGCTAAAATAGCTGTTTAAGGTGAGCATCTTCGTTTTCGTTTTCAACTAATTTAATAGGTTAACAAAACGAAATTTTGGTGTGCAAACAATCTGGAATGCAATATTAGATTGATTTTATAGATATGTCAGGGACAATGTCTTATTAAAGATTAATATTACATTGATCAAGTAATATCTTCTTGAATAGTAACAATTTAATGCATTTGTTTTGAAGCACTAGTTAAACTATAATTATAGTGATTTCATGTTACTTGAATGCCATTTTAATGGTTGAGTAAATGTGCCCGTGACCAGTGGTTAAGGTAGATGACTACAAACAACTTGCCCCTCACCGCTGTGGGTTCTAAACCGCAAGAAACTTACACTGGATTTTTTTCTTACGAGACAGTTATTTTGCTAACTTACAGAACGTTAGTTCTAGTCATGAGCCATTTCGAGTATGAAATATAGGCGGTCTTCACCCACTTTTAAAGCTGGAAAGTCTCAATATGATTTCTACTGTATTGGTGAGACATAAAACTCAACAAAAATGTTATTGAGTGACGATTTACAAATCAAACCTATTAATGCAGATCCCTGTCAAATACGTCTGTAGAGCATTTTGTTTTAGGATATTGGCCTAGAGCGTTTTTACTTTGTAAATTCGTGGTAGTGAGATCGAATCCCGGCTAAAACGGGATATCTTTCTAACACATTTCCACCTTTTCAACAAAAATCGTTTGCAAGATTGGAGCAAATATGTTATTCCTTGCTCATGACATATATTTAAAATCCGAAATAGTTTCTGATCTATAATCGACGTTGTTTCTGACCTAAAAAAGGCTAATCCGTTAAAGAAGTTGCTAATGTAGAATTTATAGAACATTACCAATTGCCTCTGTTAGCAGCTACTGTATTTTGATAGAAAAACAGAATCATTTTCATTAACACGGTTAAAGGTGTATTAATAATATTAATGAAATTATAGTATAGATATTAACAAAATGAAATAAAAAGATTATTAACACATGTAATAATAATATAATATCATATTCCACGCATTAAATATTCATTATATAAATTATAATGATAAATGTTATCCTCATTTCA